GAGCCCAAGCACTTGGGCCATCCTCCACTGCCTTACCAGGCCACAGCAGAGAGCTGGACTGGAAGAGGAGAAACCAGGACAGAACTGGCGCCCCAAATGGGACTAGTACCCGGGGTGCCGACGCCGCAGGTGGAGGATTAGCCTAGTGAGCAGCAGCGCCGGCCAAGTTCCTCTACTTTTAAATTGACCTTCATTTCTTTCATGTTTCTCCACTTACTGTGCTACCATTGATGAGGGCCAAGATTCCACCATCTCTTACCTGAATAACAGTAATTACCTCCAAATCAGGACTCACGCTCATCCCTGCTTCTCTACAGTCCATTTCCACATAGCATTTAGCTGGATTTTCTTATAGTAAAATCTTATCATGTGTATCCACATAGACATTTCTTTGAACTTAAAAGTTATAACTAATTTTCTTTCTTCTCTCTTCTCTTCTCTTCTCTTCTCTTCTCTTCTCTTCTCTTCTCTTCTCTTCTCTTCTCCATCACTTATTTCAATTTCCTGATCATTCAACATCTTTTAGACACTCTGTCATTTCCCACATATCAGAATCTTCTCCATCTAGGAATCTTCTTACATATTAGTATCTACTTAAAATTTCCTGCCATTCTCCACATAGCTATTTGTCATCCATTAGTCTCAGAGATGTGTCCTAAAACAATCTGTGTTCAATCATAATAGAATAACACAGTAATTTAAATAGGAGAAGCTTAATATAAGAGACTTTTAAATAGGGTAAAAAAATAACTGCAAGATGCAAAGAAACTCGTTGTGGCATACGAGGGTTTAAGGAGCATGATCAAAGAAGAGAAGAGTTGGAAATGATTCAGATCTCCTTGGAAGAAGTAAGATAGCAGACATGTATGCTGGTGTTAACTAGGCTGGAGTTGGTGTGGAGTTGCTAGGTGAGTGATTAACTACCTTCTGAAGTTCCAGAAGAGAAAGAAGAGCTCAGTAATTATTGATTGAGCATGCAACCACGGTCGGACAGCCAGCAGTGATGGGAAGTCTTCAGGGCCTGAAGGCCGTAGGGAGTGGGGGAGGGAAAGGTTGGTAGAAGGAATGACACAGGAGTGTGACCCTCCAGGCCAAAGGTGACTGTGTATGTAGACCTGGCAGAGCTTTGGTCCAGAGAGCTGAGTCTTGCCAGGCCGAGACTGCAGGGTCAGTGAAGGACCGATTTCTAGGTCCTTATCTGGGATACCCTCACAGTCCCTCCATAAGTCGCTTACACCTTCCCTGTCACCTCCAAAGCAAATCGGAGAAAACCTCTTCCTTCTGTAATGTCCTCTCAACACTGAGTACTAAGTTTTTGACACCATGATTGCTTTAGTTTTTGGACTTATGATTATTTTTAAGCTCCTTTTATTCCTTTGAAAGAGAGAGAATCTTCCATCCACTGATTGACTTCACAACAACCAAGGCATGGCCAAGCCAAAAAGGAGCCAGGAATTCGATCCAGGTCTCCCACATAGGTGGCAAGAATCCAGGTGTTTGGGCCATCAGGTACATTACTTCATCACAGGTTCATTGGCAGGAAGCTGGAACAGAAGTGGCGTAGCTGGGACTGGAACTGGCACTTCAATATGGGATATGGATGTCCCAAACAATGGGTTAACCTACTCTGTCACAATGCTTGCCCCAATATCACATTCACTTTTTTTAAAGAAAACAATTTTAAGAGGGAGCTTCCTCTTCTCTTCTCTTCCCAAATAATCACAACATCTAGGGCTGGAGCAGGCCAGGTCCAGGAATTGCTTCCTGATCTCCCTCACGTATGGCAGTGGGCAACAAGTACTTGGGCTATATTCTGCTGCCTGACCAAGTGCATTAGCAGGAAGCTAGATCAGAAACAAATAGCTGGGACTCAAACTGGTGCTATAACGTGGGATGCTAGCTTAACAAGCGGTGGCTTAATCTGCTGTGCCACAATATCCGTTGCCATCTCACTCACCTTAAAAACAAATATTTAAAAGAATTCTGTTGTTTTTTGCAGAGTATATATGGAAGGGTGCAGTTAGAGGTAAGGGGCAATAAATTAACAACTGATATATTTTCTTTAAGCCCTGATCTTAAATAGCTCTGCAAGCTTAACCTATATCATTATTTGTGGTGTTGCATTGTTTCTTCACTAGCACTTAAAATTTTCTCTTTAATTATATTTACTTTTATTTCTCTGATTCTCTAACTAGAGCCCAAGTATTTCTGGTTATACATAGTATTCCTTGAGCCATAATGACACTTACATTTTTAAATGAGCTGTGAATGAATTTCAAGAATTAATCCCAAAGAAGAGCCTTCTCTTGATATTTTCATCTCAGGTTTGAGAGGAAAATAGGAATAGGAGTAGAATGACAACAAAGATAGGCCTTGTAGGCCTGCTTTACTTTCCTATTTCTAGTAAGCTTCCTTTTTATATGAGAAAAGGAAGCTATTGTTATAATACTCCTATTTTTGTATGCTTTCAGTTCCTAGTATTCCCATTTAAGTATTACACAGATTCTCCAGAGATGAATGAGTGTAGTCCTTAGTTTTGAGTTACAGGGAAACCCTATGTTGCCATCTGAGGATGGATTTAGCTCTGAAGATCTACAAAGATCTGCAAAGTTCTTTGCAATTTCATCCTCATTGGTCAAAAGTTATGACACAGGAAATATACTTTAACACATCAGTGAAACCTATTATCAGAAAGCATCTAAATGCACTATCTAATATATCTCGAATAAATTTTAAGGTAACTATTTGATGCCAAATTTCCTCAGTACCTGATTATCCCATTTACTTATTTCCCTCTCAAGTATACTTCCTAGTTTTTCCTTTGCATGCACTCATTTATGCCAGGAACGGTGCAAATTGTCAATGTTTTTGCATTGTAGGGGAATACTTGGAAAAGTTCATGAAAAACAATTAGAAGATGAGTTTATTTTGGTACAAAAATTTAAAAATTCATGCATTTTTAATAATATACCTTTTATGAACTTTAGGAAGAGCCATGATAAGCATGGATTTCAAGTTTTTCTATACCAAAATAAACTTATTTTTTAATTGATTTTCCACAAACTTTTTGAAGTACCTTTAACTATTTTGATATTCTGAGACTGCTAATTTTTCAAAGCAAACAATTAAAAAAATCCAGAAATGAGTAAAAAAGACTGTTACAGCACTCTGGCCTCAGAATCAGCCCTTAAGCATTCAGATACAGCTAAAAAGCCCATGAGAGTATTTCAGGCATGGAAAGCCAAGACATTCTGGCAAAAAAAAAAAATGATCTAAATGAAAGATCTCTGTGAGTGAGATTCCAGCGGAAAGAACGGGCCATCAAAGAAGGAGGTATCTTTCTCCGAAGGGAGGAGAGAACTTCCACTTTGACTATGGCCTTGTCTAAATAAGATTGGAGTTGGTGAAATCAAAAGGCCTCCATAGCCTTAGCAACTCATGACAGAGCCTTCAGTGATTACTGACCCCAAAAACAAGAGTGCCAATTGTTAAATCAACAACAGGAGTCACTGTGCACTTACTCCTCATGTAGGATCTCTGTCCTTAATGTGTTGTACTATGTGAATTAATGGTATAACTAGTACTCAAACAGTACTTTACACTTTGTGTTTCTGTGTGGGTGCAAACTGTTGAAATCTTTACTTAGTATATACTAAATTGATCTGTATAAAGATAATTGAAAATGAATCTTGATGTGAACGGAAGGGGAAAGGGATGGGAGAGGGAGCAGGAGATGGGATGGTTGTGGGTGGGAGGGAGGTTATAGGGGGAAAAAGCCACTGTAATACAAAAGCTGTATTTTGAAAATTTATATTTATTAAATAAAAGTTAAAAAAAGGCTGAACACCTTCAAATGATTTTTCTAAATTTTCTCCTCCCCAAATTAGGCTAAGTGCTATGAATGGAAAGATTGGAGAATAGATATGAAACTCAATTTATGCTGGTTTCACACAAAGATTTTTTATAGAAACTTTTATTTTATTTATTTCCATGCCTGAGATACTCTCATGGGCTTTTTAGCCAGATCTGAATGCCTTAAGGCCAGAATGTTGTTTAGGGCATTTGTCATTCATTCTATGAGTCTGCTGTGTATCCCACTTCCCATGCTGGATCATTCTCTGCTTTTTAATTCTATCAATTATTATTAGTAGGCACTGGTCTTATTTATGTGATCCATTTGACACTTAATCATATATTTATGATCAGTTATGAACTTAAACTGATCACTTTAACTAGAAAGATAACATTGGCACCTGCCAACTTAATGGGATTTAAAGTTCTATGGCAAGTTTCTAGCTTTACCCTTAGGAGTAAGTCTGAGGGAGTGTCACACAAACTTTTTTGAGCAATATTCAAGCTCACCACTAAAATTTAACAAGAAATTGGTCTAGGGGAAATAAACATGGAAGGCAGGGGAGAGTAGTGTTTCACACGGATGAAATAACATATCCGAAGATACTCAGGGATGAAATGTGGGTGGTCCTTCCTGGGCATTGAAGGTAAGAGATATGCCTGAGAAATAGAAAACATAGGCTATGAGTGGTGAGGGCTAATAGGAGATGACATGTGGCAAGAGCCAATTCCTGTACTGCCTTAGAGGTCTTGATAGGAAGTATGGATTTTGTTTTAGCCATGCTGGTAAGCCTTTGGATGATTAGACAGAGAGTGGCACAATCCTATTTCCTTTTTAAGGTCCTACTACATTGGTTTCATAATTCTACACAGACACACACACACACACACACACATACACATACATGTATACACTAAAATAAACTTATTTTGACCTCACAACATAATTAATATCTTATGTCTTGGATATTGACTTTTAAGAATTAAAAATTTCTTTGATTTCTATTAAAGATTATCTTTCAGTAAAAAAAACTAAGTATAGAATGCTAAGAAAAAACAACTATACACATCATATTAAATGAAATTATCTACGGAATCATTGTAGCATCTATATTCCTTGTATGTTTCTATGTGTTTCTTGACTCAAGCACTCCCAGGCCACACATGTAAGAAGCTGGAATCAGGAGCAGAGTCGGACTCAAATCAAGGAACTTTGATGTGGTATATAGGAGTCCCAGATGGCATCTGCACTGCTGGATCAAATACCCACCCATGCTGACACAATTTTGTATTTCGGTATCATCAAATGTATGTTTCTCATATGTTATGACCTATTGTTGTGTAGAAAGTTTTCCTCCACCAAAAAATTTGAGTACTGATTTCTGTTGAAGGATTTTTTAAATGATGCCATTTATTTAAGTCTCAGTCTTAGAGGGACTGTGTCATATGATGATCAAAATTGACTTTTTCAAGCAGTTTTTCATTCTACAGATGCATAGTGACCATTTTTTAAAGATTTATTTAATTTATTTGAAAGACAGAGTTACAGAGAGGTAGAGACAGAGAGAGAGGTCTTCCATCTGCTGGTTCACTCCCCAGACGGCCACAACGGCCAGAGCTGTGCCTATCCAAAGCCAGCAGCAAGAAGTTTCTTCCTGGTCCCCCATGTGGGGTGCAGGGACCCAAGGACTTGGGCCATCTTACGCTGCTTTCCCAGGCCATAGCAGGGAGCTGGATCGGAAGAAAAACAGCCAGAACTAGAACCAGCGCCCATATGGGATGCCGGCGCTTCAGGCCAGGGCTTTAACCTGCTGCGCCACAGCGCCGGCCCCTATAATGACCATTTACTACGTGACAACAAACTGCTAGGCACTGAATCAAAACAGCTATTAACTAAATAAAATACTTTTAGACTATATTCTATTGGAGATGAATTTCTTCACCATTTATTAAATAATCTTTGCTTCCTTAATGTTTTATATTACTTATCATAGCTACCATATATATATATATATCTCAAAAGAGTTATTTCTAGAACTTTATTCTGTTTCCTTGATGTGTCTGTTCTTTTCTCTAGTAGCACACACTTTTGTAGTGGTATGCCTTATGTATTAATACAAGGTAGAGCAAGTCTGTTATTTTTACTCTTTGATGAAAGCATGGAAGTTAATCTAGCCATTTTATTTTTCAACATAGATTTTAGGCTCTTTTATCAGTTTTAAAATACTCCATTGAAACTTAATTGCATCTATACATGTATTTGGAAATGATATTTTAATGACCATAATATTTCATCCATTAATATGCTATTCCTTTTTGCTTATTAAAATTTCTTCATCAAATTGTGCTGATTTTCTTCAGCTAGATTTCTCACTTTTTTTTTTTTTTTATTTTTTGACAGGCAGAGTGGACAGTGAGAGAGAGAGAGAGAGAGAGACAGAGAGAAAGGTCTTCCTTTGCCGTTGGTTCACCCTTCAGTGGCCGCCGCGGCCGGCGCACTGCAGCAGGCGCACTGCACTGATCCGATGGCAGGAGCCAGGTGCTTCTTCTGGTCTCCCATGGGGTGCAGGGCCCAAGCACTTGGGCCATCCTCCACTGCCTTCCCTGGCCACAGCAGAGAGCTGGCCTGGAAGAGGGGCAACCAGGACAGAATCTGGCACCCCGATCGGGACTAGAACCTGGTATGCTGGTGCCGCAAGGTGGAGGATTAGCCTAGTGAGCCGCGGCACTGGTTTCACATTTTTGTTAAGGCTTCTTTTAGATTTGGTGTGGTTTGTTTTTGTTGTAAACAGATTTTCCTCTTAATATCCTCTAAGATCTTCATAATGCTTTCATAGGAAAGGTATTTATTGCTAAATATTTTCATGTGTCATTAATTCTGTCCAAATTCCATTCTTTCTACACACCTATGCTTAATTCTTATAAGTTTCAAACATGCAATGATACTGTGTGCAAAATGTATTCCTTTATAGAACTAGGATTGTTTCATGCCTAATTTAGAATTGAAATAACTTAAAACATTGTTAAGCAATAAAGGTTATAGAGGGAAAATCTGTTCATTTAGAGCAATACATTTTTCCAAAGCTGAAATAAAATGACCAGGAAAAATATCCTCCTTGGAATATATAAATTATAAAAAACATAAGGAGCTCATGCTGTGGTGTAGTGGGTAAGGCCGCCATCTGCAGTGCCCGCATCCCATATGGGCCCCAGTTCAAGTTACGGCTGCTCTACTTCTGATCAGCTTTCTGCTATGACCTGGGAAAGCAGTCGAAGATGATCCAAGTTCTTAGGCCCCTGTACCCGCTTGGGAGACCCAGAAGAAGCTCCTGGCTCCTGGCTTTGGATAGGCCCAGCTCCTGCTGTTGTGGTCATCTGGGGAGTGAACCAGTAGACGGAAGACTCTCTCTGCCTTTGTCTTGCTGTAACTCTGCCTTTCAAATAAATAAATAAATCTTTAACAAATAAAAAAAGTAAAGTTGAAGAGCACATAGTCATCAAATAATGAGTGAAATCTGAATTACTACTTAGTTTTAATTAGAATAATATTTTAACTTACAATAATTTCACATAACATCATGCACATTTTTAAAAGGAAAGTAAAATATCAAAGCAACCTAGAAATTATTCTCTAGTATATGCTTTTTAAATCTTCATTTGTCAGAAGTAACTTTTTCATTTTCTCAAAGTACAATGATTGCTGAATTTTTACTGCTTCATCATTTTAAAAAAATCATTAAATTAGGAATATCTCAACCATAAAAATTGCAACATACAGAAATGAACCAAAATGATATTCGGAGGATGATGATCTGAAATATTCTTCACAGTTCTGAAGACTAAAACTCGTTATATATAATAACATGGAAAATATTCAGTTCATATAACACTAAGCTGGAAGGTGCAAAACAAAAGACACTATTTTTTTTTTCTGCACCCACCAGCCATATATGACTGTGTCTTCCACCTTCTGGCTGTCTTAAGGTATTCAGAAGTATAGCTCTCTGGTGAGCCATAAGAGTCAATAGTTATTCTCTAGGTTAAGGAATGCCCCCTCTGCAAAGATAGCCATGTGGCGATAATGGAGCACAATCCTCAAAGCCTAAAAGGGTGTTGAAAGAACAAGAGCTGTTGAACAAAACATTGGATAACACTTCACAGAGGTGGATCAAATATAGGGGATTAATGAGAGAGATAAAGGGAAGAGTAGCAAAAGAAAGAAAATCAAGGGAGTATGTAATAAAAGGAAAGAGTTTTTCAAGAAGAGGCATGCAATTAATTGAGTCAAGTTGATGGTCTTGGATAGTAAGCTTATTATACAGTGAAATAAGAGTGAGATTTCCTTCATGTTGGAATATTCTTTAGAAGTTATTACCTGGGGTTCGGCACCACAGCTCAATAGGTTAATCATCCGCCTGCGGCGCCGGCACACTGAGTTCTAGTCCCGGTCGGGGCGCCAGATTCTGTCCCGGTTGCCCCTCTTCCAGGCCAGCTCTCTGCTGTGGCCAGGGAGTGCAGTGGAGAATGGCTCAGGTCCTTGGGCCCTGCACCCCATGGGAGACCAGGAGAAGCACCTGGCTCCTGCCTTCGGATCAGCGCGGTGCACCAGCCGCAGTGCGCCGGCGGCCATTGGATGGTGAACCAACAGCAAAAGGAAGACCTTTCTCTCTGTCTCTCTCTCTCACTGTCCACTCTGCCTGTCCAAAAAAAAAAAAAAAAAAAAAGTTATTACCTGGGGCTGTCATTGTGGAGTAGCAGGTTAAGCCACCACCTGCAGTGCCAGCATCTCATATAGGCCCTGGTTCAAGACCCAAGTGCTCTACTTCCAATCCAGCTCCCTGCTTAAGTGCCTGGGAAAGCAGCAGAGGATGGCCTAAGTCTTTGGGCCCCTGTACCCACAAGGGGGTCCCAGAAGGAGTTCCTGGCTCCTTGCTTTGGCTTGGCCCAGCCTTGGCCATTGTGACCATTTGCAGAGTGGAACAGTGGATGGAATATCTCTCTATCTCTCTGTGTAACTCTATCAAATAAATAAAATTTAAAAATTAAAAAATTATTGCATGTTTAAAAGGAAACATTGTATTTCATGTTCATTTAAATAGAACATTTACATTGACTTTCAATATTGAAAGGAATTGGTGTGGTTTACTTTTTTCACAGGAAAAAATACTTTTTCAAATGTGTATATATTCCTAGAGTGGAGAACAGGATGGACACAGAAATAAATATATTCTGTCAGTGAACCATAGTCTTAATTTTAGACCCTCTTAAAATGACTCACAGAGAGAAGTGCTCTTCAAACTTCCAATATATGACATATGAACACTTGTACATGCATATGAGTATTCTTTCATTTATCAGGACAAAAAAGTATCTTTAAAAGGAAGAGTAGAGGTGCATCTTGTCGCTCCCCGTCTTCGTGGAGGAACGACACAGGACCCTGCGCTGTTCTTTTGTCTGCTCGGCCCTCCCCGGGTTTGCTGCTGGTTCTTCCCGGGTTGGCTACCGTCCCTCCACCTCCGTGGAGGGGCGGGCCCCCTGCCACTTTCCCCACTTCCGCAGGGGAGCGGCACACCGCCGGCCGGCTCTCTCGGGGGCTGCACAGGTGTTCCCTCAGATGTTCCCGTTAGATGTTCCTGGTGCATGTTGTCTCTCTCCTCCTTTTTAGTCCTCTTCCGCCAATCCCAACTCTGCTACCCACACGCCGAGTACGCTGCTCTCCTCCAATCAGGAGCAGGTCCTGCTGTTTATTGGTTGAACTGGAGGCAGCTGTGTAGAAGCTGTTTCCCTTCTCAGCGCCATATTGTGGGAAAGCAGATGCATAGAATAAGTCTTAATTCCAGTAACTTAGTCTAGTCCGAGTTGCTCCCCACACATCTCAATTTTTTTAGCAGTAACTCACTACATAGAGTAATGTGTGTTTCTGAGATTTCTCTGACTTTTTTATAGTTCACTACCCCTGTACACTCCCCAGAACAGAAAGTACATTTTCTTTCATGTTTGTGTTATACCAAGAATACTGTTGCTGTTCAATGAATATAAAATAATGATTAGGGCAACATTTATTCTAGTGTCCTAAATAAAGTTGAGTCATGACAATAGAAATAGAAGCATGCAAAAAAAGAGTAAAATTAAAGCAGTTAGAGTGTTTTTGTTGACTGATCACACACCTTATTATCTTATTAATTCTCACAATGTCTTTGAAATGTTTTTGTTATTTTCATGTACAATCCAGAGGAAATAAAGTGGCAAAACAATTGTTTCCCAGATGAATATCCAACTGGATAAGAATCCAATATCCAAAAGTTAACAGATCCTGGAAATATGTGAACATTAACCTTATACTTTATTAGCTATTAAAACATGCTAG